ATTGTTTTATTTTTGTATCCACAGACTATATTATTTCTATGAGTTACAGCATCACAGGGAAAGTATATTGTCAACTAGTTACCCAACTTAATTCCTGAGTCTTTCTCAGCCTTCTGCTATGCCTGATACTGTCTACTCTGCTGTAAATACAGCTTAATTTTTCATTCATAGATCTGTGACCATCTGTATTTAAGATTTTTCATTATGTTAACCCAAGTTTATTTTTTAAAAATCAGTTTATTTAAAAAAATTAGTAAATGGTCTCATTCAATTTTTTCAGCCATTCTCTTATGAGCATATTCAATGAAGAGTAATGTTTTCCTACCAGACGTAGGTAACAAACAACAGCAAATAAAAAATTATCAAAAGCAACAGGATCCTACTAGAAACTTATCTGCTACATGATGCTTTTTGACTCTCAGTTAATTTTGAAACCTTCCACTTAGACAGCTTTTAATCCATTTATTTTCTGTGACTGATTTTGTATCTTCCTTCTTTAGTAAGCAAAGTGTGGTACAATAGAAAGACACAAGTTTGTAATGCAATGGGTGTATTTCATTAATTGCATTTTAATTATCTACCAGACTAGTAGTGTTGTTGAAAAAGTTATAGAGTCAGTTTGATGAGATTTATTTTCTGTAAGCCTGTTTTGATTGGCATTAATTATATTTACCTCCTTTACTTCTTTATTAATCAAGTGTTCTATCAGCCTCTTTACATTACCTTGCCAGAAATCAATGTGAGAGTGACAGGCCTAACATCACCCAGGTCATTCAACTCACCCTCCTTGAATATTATCATGTTTCTTTCAGTCTCTGGAGAACTGCCCCAGTGTTCCAAGACTTAGAGAAAATCAGTGTTAACAGTGCAGAATGCTCGTTGGTCAGATATTTTGTAACCAATTATGTAGACCCTTTGATTAAACCATGCAAAACTTTAACACATGCTGTGCAACATTAGTCCAATTTTCAAGGAGGAAAGAATAATCTAAATACACCATCTGATATTTTTGTAACCACAGAACAGAAGTACATAAATGTGATCATTAATATATAAAATTTGGAATTTATCTTGTTCCTGATTTGATTTTTTTACCTTAGCTTGGCTACTTTTCTCCAGGTGTACTTACAGATTTTTAATTAGATTTCTGAAATTCTTCATTTCTTCTCTGTATTCTTCCATTTGTAATATATATACATTCTAATTAATCATTTAGCTGCTTTTATTTCCTCTCTAAGTCAAATTATAGGATTGTTTTTTAATGAAGCTGAGCATTTCTTGATTTAAGAATATTTGTCATGTGCTAACATATTTTCAACAACTGCCTTATTATTAATATGTTTCTGTAAAAAAGATATCTTGCCCAGTATATTCTGCTCATAATTGCTTTCAGCTCTTCAGGTCCTTTTAAAGTACAAATATGGAAGTATAGTTAGATTACACATTATTTCATTCCCGCTTAATAAAAAAATAATTATTTGCATAGTGACCACTAATTTTAGGATATTATTTTATGTACTTTTTCATCAATTTCATCACATTTTGTTTCTTAACATGAGCCAGAAATATGCCCTTGTAGCAAGGTGGTTAAGAGTACAATCTGAGATCCAGCATTAGGAGGAGTGTTGCCACCAGGTTGTGGGAGGTGATCCTTCTCTTCTACTCAGCACTGGGGAGGCGACATCTGGAGTAATGTGTCCGTGTCCAGTTCTGGATGCCATTACAAGAGAGACATGGACATAATGGAGGGAGACCACAGAGATGAGTAAGGGACTGGAGCATCTCTCCTAAGAGGAAAGGCTGAAACTGTTGAGCCTGAAGAAGAGAAGGCTCAGGGGGAATCTCATCACTCTGTATAAATACCTGAAGGGAACCATAGAATCATACAATTGTTTAGGTTGGAAAAGACCTTTAAGATCATCAAGTCCAACCTTTAACCTAGCACTGCCAAGTTCACCACCATGTACCTAAGTGCCACATCAATACATCCTTTAAATACCTCCAAGGATGATGACTCCACCAGCTCCCTGGCAGCCTGCTCCAATGCTTGACAAGACTTTCAGTGAAAATTTTTTCCTAATACCCAATTCAAACCTCCCCTGGTGAAACCTGAGTTCATTTCCTCTCATCCTATTGTTTGTTACTTGAGACAAGAGACTGACACCCACTTCACTACATTCTCCTTGCAGGTAGTTGTAGAAAGCTATAAGGAGCCTCCTTTTCTCCAGGCTAAACAACCTCAGTTCTCTCAACTGCTCATTGTAAGACTTGTGCTTAGACCATTCACCAGCTTTGTTGTGCTTCTTAGGACATGCTCCTGCACTTCCATTTATTTCTTGTAGAGAGAGGCCCAAAACTGAAGACAGTACTAAAGGTGCTGCCTTACCAGTGTGGAGTACAGAGGGACAGTGACTTCCTTAGTCCTGCCAGCCACACTGTTTCTGATACAAGCCAGGATGCTGTTGACCTTCTTGGCCACCTGGGCACATTGCTGGCTCATGTTCATCCAGTTGTCGACCAACACCTCAAGGTCCTTTTCTGCCTGGCAGCTTTCCAGCCAATCTTCCCAAGCCTGTAGCATTGCATGGGGTTGTTGTGACAAAAGTGCAAGATCCTTAGCCTTGTTGAATCTCATACAATTGGTCTTGGAAGGTGCAAATGGGACAAAGCCAGTCCCTTTTCAGTGGTGCCTAGGGACAGGACAAGAAGCAATGAGCACAAACTGAAACACAGGTTTCAGACCGTTCCCTCTGGACATCGGGAAACATTTTTTTACTGAGAAGGTGATGGAGCACTGGCACTAGGTTCCCCAGAGGTTTTGTTTTATCGGAGTGGGATCCAGACCTCCCGGAGTAACAACGAGATCTCAATGTGAGTATGATCGTTCTCCTTTATTAAGCAGACTTACAAGACTTTTATAGTCAAGGTTTTGATCACGAGCAAAGCACGCAGCGATTACATAGAGCTGATTGGTTAATGACTACTGTTCACGCTCTCAAAGCTGTTTCTCATTGGTAAGTGATTGCTGTCCACGCGCTCTGACGTATGGACGGTACGCCTACTTGCGGTTAGCGAGTCCGGCTCTTACTTCCCTTAAAGTTGTTTTGCAGGTCAGGTTACCCTTGTTCGTATGCTGGGTTGGTCACGTCGACAAGATCATGGCCGCGCTGGGAGAGCCAGCACTCCACAATTCCCCCTTCTTCTTTATGAGCAACCCAGGCCTGGTGTACAATTTTCTCAAGAGCCCTTTTTATACAGCTTAGTGCTACACAAATACCTAATACAATCAAAATCAAAGTCATTAATATCCGTATACCTTCAACTAACAATCCTAAAAGCCATTGGGACAAATTTGGAAACCACGATGACAATAGTCCATCTAAAAATCCATGATTCTGTTGAATTTTATTAGCTTGTTCTTTCAACCATTGTATTTTCTTATGAATTGATTCACTGTGATCAGACAGATTCATACAACACATTCCGTCAAATTCCTCACATCCATGACCTTGAGCTAGTAATAAAAAGTCAATAGCGGCTCTATTCTGCAATATAGCATGGCATAAGCTATTTTGGTCTTCTAAAAAGGCTTGCAATATTTGAGAAGTGATGTTTGCCTGTTTCTTGGCCCAGCATGCTAGTTGATCTATTTGCTTTAAGGCTTTACCAGCTGCTGCTCCAGGTACAAAAAGTGACAGAAAGAACCTTTCGGTCGTACTGAGAAGAGTGAGACTGTCATCGCAGTCAGGCGTGAGTCCGGTGACGGACCTTTTGCTACATGTCCCTGACACATTTTTCCACCATTGTTGATTTGGGACTAACAACATTAATCTGCCTAGATAGCAGGGTCCACCAAAGATGTTTTTGGGAACTCCTTGCCATGCTCTATCACCACAAATTAAAAACACCTCTGGGGGTAAAGCTTTGGGTGTCCCGTTGTTCCAGAGGGGCGCTCCCCCACGGGTCTTGGCCCCATAAGCACCCAGACCTTGTCTGTAATTATTCGTGCCACAAAATGAACCCACCACCATGTAACCATAGTTATTGTCTGTGGGTGTAATGTTTGTCCATGTTGTCCAATTGAAATTTCTATAGTAATTTGTACCTGTAAAGGCTGGTCCCCCAAAGAATATACAGGATTGGGTCCAATTTTGTGACTCATTGCCAATTCTCATTGATCCGAGCAAATTCAACTCCTGTGGATCCCAGGGCAGGGTAGTATTTAGGTGCATAATTAATTTAGCACTACAATTGCTTACTATGCTCTCATCTGAACAATTTGTTGTGGAGAATTTTTCAAATTCGCGGACACTAAAACCAGGTACACCTATTAAACAGGTGCGAAAGGGTTCTGTGGCAGATGCAAGCGCCAGACGAAAGGATTGTTGGCCCGTTTTATTTGCCCAGGTTACCCACAAGTTTTGTCGAGGTTCGATGGTGTGCAGAGCTAAAACAGTGGCAAAGAGCCCTCCCAACATTAAGAGTATTACCTTTTCCATTTCTTTCGTTCCCATTTCCAACGAAAATGCTGTTCACACCTTCGCTTTGTAGCTACCCAATTTTCTTTAGATACTGTCCAAATAACTGGGACAAAGTTTTTTCTACTGCATTCCGTGTGGGACATGAGTGGCCTTTTTGACTGATCGTACACCATGCGAATCCATTCACTGTGATATTTATAATATCTGTTACTTCCTTCTGTTTCCTGTCCAGTAGTGAGCAGGATTTTAGGTAGCTCAAACTGTTGTGTTAAACACTCTTGACACCAGCGCTTAGCTAAGGTTGCTCGTTTCCACTCTTCCTTTTGACACATACAACACTTACACAAGACCCAGGGATCACAATGTGCACATTCGAGTCATACAATACTCATCCTTAAAACTTCAGGACATTTAGTCATTACATTCGTCGTTCCTCTGGTCACTAGTCTGTAGCTCCGCCTTCACATACTTGCTAGGCACCCAAACCGGACCATGATCTGTGGAAACACACTTGTATCCTCAGCCATTATAAATGACAGGCACAGGTCCTTTCCAGATACCTGATGTTGGATCCCTATAGTGTACCATCATTTGTAGAATAGCTGTTTTATAATTAAATTTCAAGTTTTGGTGATGTATTACTACTGGTGGTTCTTCCTTATCTCCCATGAGACAGAGAAAATTTAGCGTAAAGAGGACACGGTGTAACCTTTGCTGCACCTCTTTTTCCTTGTCCTTTTGCCGATTTAAGTAATCTTTTAAAACTTGATGGGTGCGTTCCACCATTCCCTGGCCAGTGGGAGAGTGTGGAATCCCCGTACTATGATTGATTCCCCATTGCGATAGGAAAGTCTTAAATTTTTGGCTCATGTAGGCTGGCCCATTATCTGTTTTAATCTGTTCTGGGACTCCCAATATCGCGAAGCAAGCAAGTAAATGTTTACATACATGGTACGCTTTTTCCCCTGGCAACACGGTTGCCCAAATCATTCTTGAAAAGGTGTCTATGGTCACATGTACATATTTCAAACGACCAAATTCAGAAATATGAGTAACATCCATTTGCCATAATTCCAAGGCTTTCAAACCTTTTGGATTTACCCCCAGGCCTATACCCGGGCCGTGATTTCCACATCGGGGACAGGCCTGTACTATGCCTTTTGCCTGACTTTCTGTTAGCTCAAATTGTCTTTTTAACCCTTTTGCATTTTGGTGAAAATTTTTGTGGCTTTGCCTAGCCTGTTGAAACTTATCCATGGGGGGCAAATGAAATGCTGGGCTAACTAAGCTGTCTGCCCTATGATTGCCTTCCCCCAGCCCTATGTTTAGTTGGTGACTGTGAATATGTAATACACAGCAAACCTGAGTTCGTTGCTGAAGTACAGATCGTAAATGGATGAATAATTGCCCCAGTCCTGGATTTGCTGTTTGCCTTAATAAGGCATTGTCCATTCGTGACACTCGGCCTGCTACATACAGTGAGTCAGTCACAACATTTAAAGGTGTATTTATCCAGTTACTCAAGGCCCAGATTCCGGCAGTTAACTCCAGAGTTTGGAGAGTATCCTGTTGTTCTCCCTGTATAATATGTTGCTCCCATTGATTATCCTTTTTCCAGACACAAGCTGCCCATCGCAGGCGCTTGCCTGCGTCCGTAAAAACAGTAACACCATTTTCAATCGGGCATTGACATACTTTTGGTTTTTCCAGCCACTGATTGTGCCTTAATAGTTGCCATATTTTGCCTTTTGGTTGCTGTGAATGTACCTGTCCTCCATATCCCAGTAACGCTTCCTGTATTCCTGTGGCGTTACGGAGCCACCATTCCAGTTCTACAGCATTAATTGGTAGACTAATATCGTGCGGCTCTTCACCGGCAATGTCTACAACTCGTGCCCTCCCCCTTTTTATTAGTTCCCCTATTGCCTCCGTCCGCGTCTGTACACTGGTTTTTGGTTGTACACTTAAAAATACCCATTCTAAGATTTGAAACTCGTCTCTGCGGTCACATTTATTAGGGGCACATTTGACAGGGGAAACTTCCCCCTTTTTCTTTAGCCACTGACAAATGACAGCAAATGGTGATACACTATTATTGCGTACAAGTAAGGATACGGGTAAGTGGGCAAGACGTCGCGAAGACCACGCTGATTGCAACTTGTTCACAATGCGTTGTAGTGCTTGATGGTGTTCTTGCTGTAAAGTCACTTGTTCTGCAGGATTTGTGCCTCTCAGGAGTGTTGTCAAGGGTGCACTGTCTTCGTTGTTGATACCTACAAAGTTCCGAACCCACTGAACGTCTCCCAATAATGTTTGTACATCCGTTAAATTTGTCAACTGGGTATTAAGGTCTATTTTCTGTGGTTGAATTTGTGAATTGGAAATTGTCCACCCTAGGTATTTCCAAGGGGACGCGCGCTGAATCTTTTCAGGAGCCACAAGTCCTTTTTGAGCCAGCACCTCCTGTAGTTGTTTCGCAGACTGTTCCGAGAATGGCTCTTTCTGACAACAAAGAATGTCATCCATATAATGATAGATAATGGTTTGCAGCCGTTGACGACGTATTGGCCGAAGGGCCCAAGCAACGTAAAGCTGACACAAGGTAGGTGAGTTTTTTATGCCTTGTGGTGAGACAACCCATTCATATCGTTCTGCTGGGCTGGCTTTGTTCGTTGACGGCACCGAAAAGGCGAAACGTTCTGTGTCTAGAGGATGTAGCGGGATTGTGAAAAAACAATCCTTAAAGTCAATGATCAATAAGTGCCACTTTTCCGGCAGCATACAAGGAGATGGCATACCAGGCTGTAGAGCTCCCATGGGTTGCATTTGATCGTTGACTTTCGTAGATCATGCAAAAGTCTCCATTTGCCGCTCTTTTTTGGAATAACAAAGATAGGGGTGTTCCATGGACTAACTGAAGGTTTTATATGTCCGGCCTTAAGCCGTTCTACTAGCTGACAAACTATTTGCAGTCGCTCTGATGTCATGGGCCACTGGTCAACCCATGGTTGAACACAGGTTCGTTGGTAGTCCAGGTTAGGCGTGGGTTAGGCGACTGCTCTCCAGCGCCCACTATCAAAAAGGTTTCGTTGACAAGACTGCACCTAGTTGGCCTAAGGCATCTCGACTGATTAGTGCCTCGAGGGTCCCGGGTAGGGCCATCACATATACTCTAAGACTAATTTGCTGTCCCTCAGGAAATTGCAACTGGACTGGTTCCACGTTGACATTGGGTGTAGAATGACCCCTTTCTCCCACAATCCCTGAGAGTGGTACTTCTGTTTGCCACATCTGTGGCCATACTTTCTGGCTGATAATGGTGACATCTGCTCCTGTATCTAACATGGCATTGATGCTCCGTGCCTTTCCTTGCTGTGACATCGTTATTCTCATCATAAGCCGTTGTTCCATCTTTACTGAGAAACAAACAGTTGCTCCAGATGATCCGAAACCTTGGTCTCCTCGGTACTTTGCTGTTCGTGTCAAGGGCCCCAAGGGGTTTTGCAAGTGAACGATCTGGGCTATTCTGCTTCCTTTAGGAATATGCATAGGTGGGCTGACAGTATGAACCATGATATAGATGCGACCCGTATAGTCGGTGTCAATAACTCCTGGTAAAATGAGAAGTCCTTTTACTCCGGCAGAAGATCGTCCAAGTAGTAATCCGCCAATCCCGCCTTTCTTGTTATAAAGAGGTCCTACAGCGGTACTGGGAATCTTCTGAATCCTAGTGTCTATTAAGGTGGCATCTAATCCGGTTTCCAGGTCGAAGCCCAAGCTTCCTCAGGGGGCTGGCTGTTGCTGTGATAAAAAACCTGTGTTTCACTCTGAGGATTCATTTGTGTTGTCACACGGCCTCGTTCCGCGCTCGGCTTGAAGTTTCCCGTACAGGCTCTGGAAGCATGTGTATTCTTTTGGCATTGGTCACACCAGACGGTGGCTCAGCAGTTGATTTTCACATGACCCGTCTCTCCGCATTGGAAACACTTTCCTCGAAAGGGTTGCTCAGGTGGCCGCCTAGACCCTTGCTTGGATGAGTGTCTTTGCCCTTTTTGAACGACGGCCGCAAGGGGTTGTATGACTTCACAGACGGCACTCTGGACTGCTGCAGCAACTGTGTTTCTGTGTCGCTGGGCTTCGGCTCTCTCTACTCAAAGGAGCATTTCTTCTACCCCAGCGCCTTTGGGTAGGCTGGCCAGCAACTGTTTTGTAGTCTTGTTCACATTGTCAAAGGCTAATACCTGGAACATTTGCTCCTTACTATTTCCGGACAGATCGGGGTGGTTCATTATTGCTTCCCAGAGTCGATCCACAAAATGACTATATTTCTCGGTTGCACCTTGGGTGAGACTGCCAAATGACGGCCCGGTAAGTCAAGAAAGGCTTCTATTGCTGTTTGAGCAGAAAGCTGTAGCATGCCCGCTGGGAAGGTTACCTGCACTTGGATACTACTATACGGTCCGGTCCTTGCCTGTTTAGCATATCAGCCGTAACTCCACGGAGAGGATCTCCATCTCCTTGCCTCTGAGCCGCAACATTAGCAGCTCGCTGTCGCCACGAAGCTGTCCATAACAGAAATTGCGTGGGTGTGAGTAGCAGTCGCATTAGGTTTTGACTGTCGTGTGGAGCCATAAGGTCTGCAGTAAACATCCATCTTACAATTTGGCGTGTTGCCTCTGATTTCACACCATAAGTAGTTACTGTATTTCGGGTTTGCTGCAAAATCTTCCAGTCATGAGGTTCCCAAATTCCATTTCCGTCCCTTTGTATAACGGGAACAGCAAAGTTGGAAGGATCATTTTTGCTGTTCCATTGCCCTTCGATTATTGCATCTTTTATTATGCCACTACATCGTGGGGGCTTGTAAGTATTCGAGGGGTTTTGTAGGCACGGTGGAAGACTATTTGCTTCTTTTTGGTGCATTTCTAGCTCTGTCAGCTGCCGCATGACTTCTTGCAATAATCCTGAATGAGGCTGCGTTGAATTCTGTAAGTGCTCCAGCGTAGTACATCCTGACGACCCGTTAGAGGACGGCAACGGTGGGTACAGCGTCGTGGAGGGTGGTATTTGCGGCGCAACAGCTGTTTCTAGGGGCGGGGCAGTTGGCTGTGGTCGACACGATCCTCCACTCTCCCTGGAGGCGTTAACTTTCGGCCGGGCACCTTCTCTTTCTGGGTAGTCTACCGTGTTTACTTCCGCACTTTCTCCAGAACTCTGGTTGTTACTGCTCTCAGTCAGTTCCGCCTTTTGTACGCTCAGCGGTGAGTCAGCAGTAGAAGTGTGTATCTCCTTCAAAGCATTATTATGCGTCTTTTCTTGTAATTCATTAATATCCTTGCACACAGTTCCTTTCATCCCTCTAACAGCATTCACACCAAAAAAATGCGCGAGCGGTCCCAACGAGTTTAACGGCTTTTTCGCTGTTGCGCCTGGTCCCAGCATAGTGGCAGTGGCACAGGCCACCTCTCGCTCCGCCTTTAAGGCTCTTAATGTTTCTAGCACAGTATTCCAAAGACTACGAACCGTCTTAATCTCTTTTTCTTCCTTTTCATTCCCCTCAATGGTTTTTTGCCACATAGTACTCCCAAAGTGTCTCCATTCCTCAATTGAGAACAATAAGGGCGTTTCATTGAAAAACCCCCACCGTCGTCCTAGCTTAATAAGCTGGTGTAAATGTTTCGCTGGTGTCTCTATCCCTCTCTTAGAGAGGGAACCCAGCGAGTAACGTGGCCGCAGCTTCAGCGTCCATACTGCTGAGGGGTGAGGAGCGACCTCACACCGGCGTCTGCCCTGTCTCTGCACAAGCAGCGCTTCCCTCAACCGGGTTTCCCACTCCCCTCCTCTAGCTGCTTACCGCAGCCTCGGAGCTTCAGGCGCAGGGAGAAACCATCCTCTGCCACCAGATGTCGGAGTGGGATCCGGACCTCCCGGAGTAACAATGAGATCTCAATGTGAGTATGATCGTTCTCCTTTATTAAGCAGACTTACAAGACTTTTATAGTCAAGGTTTTGATCACGAGCAAAGCACGCAGCGATTACATAGAGCTGATTGGTTAATGACTACTGTTCACGCTCTCAAAGCTGTTTCTCATTGGTAAGTGATTGCTGTCCACGTGCTCTGACGTATGGACGGTACGCCTACTTGTGGTTAGCGAGTCTGGCTCTTACTTCCCTTAAAGTTGTTTTGCAGGTCAGGTTACCCTTGTTCGTACACTGGGTTGGTCACATCGACAAGATCATGGCCGCGCTGGGAGAGCCAGCACTCCACAGTTGTTGAGTCTCCATCCTTGGAGTTATTAAAAACCAATCTGGACAACGGTGCCTGGGCAACGGGTGACTCTGCTTGAGCAAGGGGGTTGGACAAGATGACTTCCAGAGGTTCCTTCCAACCACAACCATTCCATGATTCTATGATCATGTGAAGATAAGAGGTAATATATTTTTCCTGTGTCAAATCTAACAGTTTTTGATTAAGGAAATTGTCACTTATAATTTTTGCAATTTCAATTAATATTTTCATTTGATCTTTGTGCTATCCCCAGTATTTGAAAGTTGCACTGAATTCCGCTTTCACAAGGTGAGGTTTTCCTCTAAGGGACATAAATTAGCAGTTACAGAGTCAATCACCCTCTTTAACAGAGAAATTTCATGATTAAAGTTTCCAAACTAATTGACTAAATTCATTTAAGATTATTGCTTCTAAGTTGTAACAGGATACTTTTGAAAAGTGCTCTCCTTTTTCTTCTACCTACTCCGTTCTTACCTCTTTCACTAACATGAAGTTGGCTCAAGGATGAGCTTTAACCTTCATGAATATAACAGTTCTTGCCAAATATATGAAGTCATTTTTCTAGTTTTAATATCAAGAATTTTTTTTTTCTCTATCTCTATCTCTATCTCTATCTCTATCTCTATCTATATCATCTATATCTATAATATTATATATAAGCTGTATGTAATAAATCTATACATAAAATATATATTAGGGGTGGGATTCAGTTCCTGATTAAGACAGTATTTAGGTACATACATGTAGCTTTCTACTTCTGTGCTAATTATATAGCTGCTTACCACCCAAAATAGCACAACAGGCTGACGTCATAGCTCTCTAAGAGTCTTCAGAGTATCCAAGACATCCACTCAGGTCTGGCATGGGATTTACAGGAGACCCATGATGTCTCAACATTTCTCAATTGATATGATCCACCCAGGTGGGGCAACTCTGTCAAGCCCCTGGAAAACACAGTCAAGGAGATGTAGAGAGATTTCAGCTACCATAAACAACCAAGGTTTGTTTAAATTGCCTGAACACAGGCGTTCAGTGGCATTTGAGATGCTCTAAGCTATCTCTTATGTTGAATATGTTTGCAAATCTGTGTTTTTAACTGTAGATGAATGAAAACTGGAATTAGACTTTTAATCATCCAGACAGAAGCTGAAGAGATTCTGCTTTTATACTCTGTCTTTCCTCCATTTAAAAGAATTTCAAGCACTTTTGAAACAGAAAGAACATGGGTTTTCCTTAGTTTAAATTTTTATTGCATAAATTTATATATATAAATATTTCTGTAGTGCAATTATAACAATTTCTATGCAATTAGCAACTTGAATGAATGGTTCTTAGCAACATATATGACTGATAATTTGTCCTTTGAACTCAAGGTGATTTTTTTGTTAAAATAATCACATTTTGTCAGTACCTGACAAAAAGAAAAAGTTTTCAATGGAAGAAAATTGTGCATCTTGACTGTGGGTTTTTTGCTTAATTGATGTATACTTGCAAAAGTTATTTATATACTTGCACTTTCAATAAAAGTTCACAAGTAATGTAGCAGGGTCTTAGAAGCAGCAATTCAAGATTAATTTCTAATTTCAGCTTCCTGGAGAGGTTACTTTTTTAGATAATGAAAACTGTCTTTTCTTATATGTCAATAGGACTTTTTAATATTATAATTTTGGTATTTCAAATTCAGAATTTTCTTCATATCTCCATGTTTGCATTTTAATTGAGTGAGACTATCCAGCAGATTAACACAAAAATGCCAACTTGTACTTCTAAACTTGTTATTTAAAAACTCTGAGGAAACATGACTTTGGCATTACTGTGGTGCTGTTGTTTCCCTTTACAGATAGTGCAGTTATGGCTATTTGGAGTGTCTGACAAATACTGAAGGAAAATTGCTATCTAAGCAATGTATAAATACAGTGAAGCAATTTATTTCTCATTTTCTAAGAAGCAGTTCGATAAGAAAATGTTTGCAGAATTAAGTGAATGGCTGCATTATACATGTTAGTAAACAGATTAAATTATTTCCTTCTTTCTCCTTATGATAAGCAACTTCGCACTTCCCTAGGTGTGACTTTATCGATGTATGAATAATTCAGCTTTTTGAACTAACTTATCTCAAGGAGTGCTATCCAACATTTTTTCTTTCCCTTTCCTGCTATGCTCTTTGTCATTTCCTGCTTATGAAGTAAATTGTCAAAATACAGACAAAAGGGAGATAAAGATTCCTCAAGGCACAGTGAGTGAAACAAAGGAATATTCATTTTGCAGAAGTTATTCTTGATTTATTCTTGACAAGTGTAATTGAATTAGATTTCCAGGGGATATAACAAATGGTGATAACAGATGACAAGCACCTTTTGACAGCTTTCTGTAGCTTCAGCATAGTGTATGAGTAATTTGGTAATACATGAATGCACATAGTATTACCAAATTCATTTGCTAGGGATGACTTCCATGCTTGTCAAATAGTCAAAATTCTGATTGAAGTTATAATATTAATGTAAGCAATGGTTACATCATCATTCATGAAAATTCAGTGATGGAGTGTCACAGACAGTTGGAATCCACTCCATCTGCACAAGTATTTTTAATAGATCTACTTACTTGCTATGAAAAGAAAATTCAGGTCAACATGGATGTATGCAAAAAAAAAAAAGGTATCATTGATTTCAACTTCTGATTCTTAGATTTTCATGTTGCATGTTTTTATTTGGATGTGAAAAGAAGCTTTTTATCAACATTTCAATAATATGTGCAATAAATCAAAAAGGCAGTAAGTCTCACAGAGATATTATTTGCTGTGAGGCCATTAGATCATAGTATTAATAATTTAAGTAGAAATCAGATTTCCACTGGTCATTTGCCTCAGCTTTTGACTTTAAAAATGTGTACTACAAGACATCTAATATGCATTTGGTCATTGAAAAGGAAGACTGGTTTTCAGACATGTTATAGATAACAGTTGTATGAAGTAGTCTTCATTTCAATATTAGTTTAACACTTTAATTTGCATTGTAGTCAACATGTTAGTTCAGTCACTGAACTTTTAACTATACTTCTCAGGAATAAGTTACATTTTCTCGTGGCCATATTAAAATGGTGTTCTGCTTGTTTTCAAAGCTCATCTGAAAGATTTTTTTTTTTCAGTTATCTCTGGTCTTCTTTTGTGTTATTCTGGAACCAAAATGACTTTATATTAAAAAATTTTCAGAAGTCCTTGCATTCCAGAACTCCCAGGGCCTATGTTATATATATTCGATGGCAACCAATTACAGACAATAATTTGGCATATATTCTATCATATTAAAAGTAAAATAAAACTATTCTGCAGCCCATACTCTCTAAAGTCTTTGAACATGTTCACACATACATTTTACAGTTCTTTTGGTGTATTTCAACTGCTTAAAAGTTGACCTTACAAAAAGCCTTTGGTGTAAAATATATGAATGCTAATAATCCCCTAAATACTTATTTACATTATAAACTCTTAAAGCTTCAAAGGAACTGTCACAGGCTCCTCTCCCAAACATTTCAGTCCCATGTGCATTCATCATTTGCTTTTATCATGCAAATTCTCCTACAGAGAGAAAATTCCAGGCTGAAAGAGAGACACTACTTGGAACAAGTGGGCATTTCCAGTGAGTAGCATTCTTTAATTTCAGCCTTTTAACTATAATAGTAGCATTTCGATCATAAACTTATAGATTCTTCATAAAAAGCCATGAAGTACATGTGAGTTGTGTAAGATTAATATTATCAATATCATTCTAACACAGCATTGCCAGGGATTCTAATTAGAAGGGAACCTCAGAAGTGCTTTGCAGAGGCTGGGAGACACAGTATCTGCAATGAAAAGCTTACAATCCAATTTAAATTATAAAACTACAAATGAGTGTAACAGAGTGTAGGAGAAAAGTAGTGAAAAAAATTACTAGAGTTGCTGAAAACTATGTTAGAATATTTTTCATTAGAAAGTGGTGTTTCAGTGACCCTGTTAGTGTATGTGAGATTATGCCAACTGAGATGAAATTCAGTTGCCAGCATTTGCTAAATTAAACTTTCCATAAAAGTTTAAGTAGTATATTCTACTCGGTACCTTATTTTGGAACTTATTTTATATTTTTGCACTCTTTGTTATATTTATTTTATTAGTTCTACGTTGTAGTATTTTATTAATAGCAGTATACATCACTTAGTACTACTGCTAAATGACATAACAAATAGCTTAAATGTGTTACTGGCTTTTATGTTATCTTTTACTTCTTCAACTCTGAACTGAAATACCTTTTTTTCTAGATTAACGTATTTGCTGTTTATAGAATGCCAAACCACTTCCTTAGAACGAACAAGAGTTGTTCTCTAGAAAATAAGTTCTCCAGGTACTGGCTGGAGGCATGGCTGTTTCAAATAGCTTATATATCTGTCCAGAATAATTTTTCAGGATATTAAAAATTATGCCAGGTATGCAGTGACTTTGCTGAACCTACATTGTTAAAAATTTGGGCCTAAACATAAAAGGGTCAAAACTGTGGCAAAAGTACAAACAAATCCTACTTATCTTCCTTTACATCTGTGCAGATCCTAGAAAATCATTGTGGTTCAAATAGCAGTTTCCTTTCAGAAATCTTTCAGTAGAAAATAACTAAAAGACAAAAGTACTCTAAAGGAAGAATATTACCA